AGGTATATCTATACATTTACATACGTACGTATGCCTGTATGTATATATGTAAGAATTAATGAAATTCTGGACATTTTGATCCACCCTCATATAGAAATTTAAATGTAAAATTGGAACTGAATTTAAACTATTTCATTTCATGTCGAGAAGATTAATCCAAACTTTAATCTATTGTATAAAGATACTAGTCATATTTTTTACTTACTTGGAGAAAATCGATATCAATTTTAAAAAATCACTATTTAAATTATTTTTAATGCTAGTTTTAGTAGCAGGTAAACTTAAAAATCCACCTCGTGAGATTTTTTATATTTTTTCCTTCTAATGAAAGTAAATGACAAATAAGGATACCTCGATCAATTCTATTTACGAGCTTTTTCTTTCCAGAACTAGTCCCGTACATTTGCACCCCCTGTCACATAAGGGCGCGAGTGATTCTAATTGTAACAGAGGAAGCTTTGTTGACAGATCACCGGGGGTTCCTTTGCAGTTATTATTTAAAAAAAATATTTTCCCCTATATATAGAAGTTTCCCTATTTAATAGCTTTTGACTCAAATTTATATATACATATGCCTACTAGTTAGTTACTCATGTGCTCAAATTGAAGTGCTTATTATGGATTTAAAACTTTTTGGATAATGGAGAATGATGTACTTAGTCGGATTATAAAATGTTATCCTGTAGTATCAAATAAATCATTGCAAAAATAGTTAAACTTTAAAACTTAGATAGTTAATTAAAGAACTTCTATATCTAATATACTAATCTATATACTTTGTTGTGATAAACAAATTATGGGTCTCGATCATAAATTTTTCTCGTCTTATGACTCTACATAATGAAATTGTTTCTCATACAATATTTACATTTTTGTTACTTCTGATTTTTAATTTTAATTTATGTCTAATTACTTTATGTCCCAATTCCCAATTTCTCTCCTTAAACATTTTCTTCGGTTCATTGAAATCATATTTGTAGAATTAAATTTCTTCTTTTAATGAACCACTGTGATTAACAAAAGTATTTATATATCATTTCAGTAATAATAAATAATTTTAGGAAGAGTTTTAGGTCAATATTTCCCTTATTATCATTTTGCTTATACTTCCCCAAGATCGTGCTTTAATTTCTTCAAAATTTTTGAAATGATTAATCTTTCCTCAATTCGATTTTTAACAACGATTATCCTAAACATTAAGGCATAAACTAGCGTTTTGTTTACATGTTTAAAATGTGTAAAATATTAATGACACTCCAAACCATAATGATTCTCCTTAAAAGTCAACACATAAATCAAAATTCCCAGAAAAATGTATATTTTCCCTATCCACCTATTGATGTTGAAGTATTGCTGCATTACGAATAGAATGAACAAAATCGCTGATGCGTGAACATTTTGCATAAACATTTCTGATTTCATTTAACAAATCTCAATTTCTAATGCCCATAGAAACTACTCACAAATAAATCCTCATGTATGAATTGAAATATATTTCAGGGCTATTATGAATGCATTATTGTATGTAACGAAATACCGATGGATAGAGCAGGGGTTGCAAAGTAAAAAATATCGGAAAAGTCATACTAAAAATTGTATTAATTATTTGGAAATCAAACATTTTACGCATGTGATAAATCTAATAAAATGACAATAAAAAATGAAGACACATAAATGTCTGTTGTTTAATACAATAAAATAATCTGATAGGTTAATTAGTAGACTCATTTTGGCTAAATAAATATGTTTTTCATAGTAGAAATTATTAGTAAATATTGCAGTATTATTTCAAGTATGTAATATCTGATTGGAAAATACTCAATTCGCTAAGAATTCTGCACTAGAAATTTGTGATTTCATAAATATCAGTTATTAATAATACAATTATTATCTAGATTGAGAAATAATTGGTACTAATGATTCACTGTATAAATAAAACAAAAATTCTTAAACATTTTAAAAAATACACAAAATAACATGATTGAAGCAAAAAAGTAATATACAAATTATATAAAAAGTCAAAATTATTGTTTAACCGTTACGACATAGAATGAACTTCTTATTTGACTTTGTTCTGCAATCTGTTTTTAGTGTTAATTTTTTTTCGGTATTTTTTAAAAAATAACTAAATAAAAAAAATATGAAGTTAAATGGGCATTTCCAATTACCAAACTTTCTTTTATTAATTTTAATCATGGTTTTTCATAGGAAATAGTTGGCTTAGCTCGAACATCAGTGCTTTAAAATCTTTCGCAAGGGTGAAAATGTTTTTATGTATACGATTAACGTCGTGCCCCTGTAAACTACTTTGCTATTCACAATTGTAATACTTATATTGGATGTATGTCAGATTATAAATCAAACAGTAGCCGGTCGTCATGAATTGTTCCGA